CTCCTAAGATATTCAATTGGATGTCTCAAATCGGAGGCTCTCCTTACTGGCCATACAAATACACTTCTTCACTAGAAGGTGTGGACTGAAATCCACCTCAAGATTCTAAGTATTGTGAGTGGTATAGACATCGCCAGAAGGACATCCATTATGAACTTCTCAGAATGTCTCCACCCAATGAAAATACAGATAAAGATATCCAAAGATAATGACCTTTGGCAATCCAAATAGTATACAAACATAGGTTCAGCCCATGAAACTCAAGCCACAGCCACTTTTCTCTAGTTATTCACTGAGCTACTATTCTTTTCATAGTTTTTTGATAGTTTTCATTACAAGCATACAATGGCAGCCTCAACAATGGCTCTCTCTTCCCCATCTCTGGCCGGAAAGGCAGTGAAACTCTCGCCATCTGCCCCGGAGATCCAAGGAAATGGAAGGGTCTCCATGAGGAAAACTGCAACCAAGGCCGTCTCATCAGGCAGCCCATGGTATGGCCCAGACCGCGTCAAGTACTTGGGCCCTTTCTCTGGTGAGCCCCCAAGCTACCTCACTGGTGAATTCCCCGGTGACTATGGTTGGGACACTGCTGGGCTTTCAGCTGACCCAGAGACATTCGCCAAGAATCGTGAACTAGAGGTGATCCACTGCAGATGGGCCATGCTCGGAGCTCTTGGGTGCGTCTTCCCCGAAATCTTGGCCCGCAATGGCGTCAAGTTTGGAGAGGCAGTGTGGTTCAAGGCTGGAGCCCAAATCTTCAGTGAGGGTGGACTTAACTACTTGGGCAACCCCAGTTTGATCCATGCTCAAAGCATTTTGGCCATATGGGCTTGTCAAGTTATATTGATGGGTGCTGTTGAGGGCTATCGTATTGCTGGTGGCCCGCTCGGTGAGATGACTGACCCACTTTACCCAGGTGGAAGCTTCGACCCATTGGGCCTTGCTGAAGATCCCGAGGCTTTTGCTGAGCTAAAGGTGAAGGAGATCAAGAATGGCAGACTGGCCATGTTCTCAATGTTTGGTTTCTTTGTCCAGGCCATTGTAACTGGCAAGGGCCCATTGGAGAACCTTGCTGACCACCTTGCTGACCCTGTCAACAACAATGCATGGGCCTATGCCACCAACTTTGTCCCTGGAAAGTGAGTGCAAGAAGAGTAATTTGATTTGTGCACTCCACGATGAGGGATTAATTCATTAACATGTGAGTGTGAATTTGAGAGTGGTGTGTGGTATATATTTCTTTGAACTAATGCAAAGCATTTGAAATTTGCCCACCGACTGAGTGAATGTTTTCAATCCTGTTATAGCTGCCAATTTCCTGCACACTGCTTCTTCTTTTGTAGTCCTTTCACAAGCAAAACAAAAACAAAAAAAAAATTTGTTAGTACTTAAATCTGTTTGGCTTTATAAATAGAGAAGTTCAAGAAACATTTAGAAACCCAAAAAGTTTTTATTTCTTTCAATGTCTTGTCATCCATTAAAAGATCTAAAAAACATATTCTATGTTGTTAAAGCTAACAAAAAAACACTCATGAATTGGTACTTAGAAAAGGAAATTGCTTGAACCCGAGCTCCTGGATAATTGACAGTAAGCTTTCCAAGTGTATACAGGTTTTCCTATTGTAATAATTTTTGCATTAAGTTTCATATGTGTTAATGGGTTGTAGGGGAGTTTCAAAGTTATTGTCTGTTATAAGGGTATGGATCCAGGAATTGGTGGACAAACCCTTTAAATAAGGTGGACGTGGAGACAGTGTTGTGGGACTAAAAAAATTGGGTTAAAGTCTTTATAATTAGTTCTTTTGATAACGAGGAATCATTACAGCCAATATTTTTTAGACTCGTGACTACAATTAAAACCTTGGATATACTATATAGCAATATCCATAAGCCATGTCTGTCGAAACTCAATATAATTGTAAGAATCACTTAACAATATTATACGATTTTGAGAAATTTTTATACTTTAAGGGGACGATCGCCCTCCCTTCAGATCCGTCATGTAAGCTAATTAGACATTTTTTTTTTGTGCTGCATCAATATTTTACTTGCAAAATGCACTTTGGATGTGCTTTGTGATGTATTTTTGACATCTTGCTCTTCATTCTGGCTTATGTTTGGAAGCATGCACTTGTTGCTGTCACTAAAACCTCTAATTTTAGAATGGTACAATATCCATCCAAAAAGGAGACCCAATTGTTATTCGTCTAAGGTCAAGGCTTGTCGATTAATATTGGTACAAGTTGCCGTAATTGACTCGACACCTTCCAAGATGATAATACATATAAATCTTGAGTCTTACACTATCCGAGTCAATCACTCATGTAGTTATTGTCATCGAATCGATTAATACAATTTCACGACATCGTGATATGACCTGGATCTTTCATCATGTTTAATATTTTCGTTTAAGTTGTATCATCCAATACCGCACTGCATGCCTTGAACACCCCCCCCCCCCCCCCCCTCCTCTCTCTCTCTCTCTCATGTCCCGCGCCATCATTCATGTGGGTTTTTGGACTAGTCGCACCTCATCATACCCGGTTGTTCATGTTTTACTCTGCTCCCAGAACACCAATGATCACTAAAAGCTCACTAAACGAGTGGCTCATCATCATAGATGGAGCCGAAAAATCAGTCGTGGGTGAACACTTAGACAAGTTTCAAAATTTTCTCCCAGCACATAAACATCACAAAAATGATTTATTTATTTGTTTATATCAAATTTGATGCTTAAAATTTCATCAAAAACGACGATGTACCAAAAATCAATATCAAAATGTAAACAAACAAAAGAGAAAAGTTACTAATTACACCACTTTATGAAAAAATGAGGCTAATTGGTAGTTATAAGTCACCCAACTAGTTTTATTATTTTGAAATTGTTGAATGATAATTTCATTATTGAAAATATTATCTTCTTTGTTCACAATCATGGTATCTATTTAACATGTATGAAGCTTGTCGAATGTCCAGAATCATTCGTTATGAGTAGTAGCAGAGCCAAAAAAATGTTTTATGGGGTGGACACTTTAGCATGTTTTATCTTAATCGATAAGTATAAGATAACACAATTATACTATTTTTTTCATCAATGATCTTTAACAATTCTACGCATGTATGTGTACAACAGAAAAAAAGATTAATTATAGTTAATTATGCAATACTGAAGTGTGCATCAATAATAAATGATCAAGTTGATCAACAAATTTTAAAATAAACCCAATATGTGTCCACTAATAGTGTTATAGCGACCTAATTCAATGTAATTATTGTATTAATTGTGAGTTCTTAGGTTAGATAAAATCCACTTCTAATCCAATGACTATATTGGATTAAGTCTCTAAATTTGGTTATTAAATTAGGTTACAATAACATTTTTAAAAAAATGATATGATCGACATAATTAGATATACTTAAAAAAATATAATGTGTAATGGCAAGGAAAAAAAATTGAGGACGGGCACATGCCCACTCTGATCCTTGAGTGGCTCTGGCACTGGTTATAAGTCTATAATGATTGATAACCTAACTCAATCATACTTTTATTCTAATTTTTTTGGATCGACTACATAAATTCTATTTAATCATTGTTTTTTGTGAAGAGCTAATTTTTTTGTTAACTTGTATTAAATTTGATCGATCTTTACTCGCATTATCATCTGGGCAGAGCTAGGATTGATTGATTGTCAGTGGGGCAAAATATAACAAAAAAAAGTCAAAAACTGAATGATATATTGTAGTGGAATGTGATATTCTTCAATACTCTAAAGTTGCTTATATTTTGATTGATTTAAATTTATTTGCAATATTGTCATTTATTTATTGCTCGGTGTTATTTAATAAAATTGAAAGCTTACAATTAAAAACTGAATGTTGAATTTTATGTGTTAAATGCTAAATTTTTAATTTACAGATTGTTTGATACCCATTGAAATTTAAGTATGAAATTAAATCAAATTATTTGATAACTATACAGAGTTGACATCTCAAAATAAACTAATTTTTTGTTTTATCCTTTTCATTCTTTACTTCTAAAATATTTACAACATCTACATTTATCTAATAAAAAATCATGATATATCACTACAAGTAATTCATAACATTAATTTTGTCCAATACAAAGAAAAAATTGAACTAGAAAAAAATGAACAATAACAAATTCACAAACCAAGCATAAAAAAATTGAACAAATAAATTGTTAACCAAACAAGGCAACAATAAAATAATAATAAATTGAATAACAAAATGATTGAACAATAACAATAATTAAAAAATTGCAAAAATTGAACAAATTATAAATAAAAAAACAAATATTTGTAGGTGCCCTAATTTAATCATCGGGTGTGTGCAATATGTTTGTGCAAATTTATGTGAGTGTATGCATTGATTCAGTGTGTGCGTGCGCGCACACACGTGTGAGAATACAGTTTGTGTTTGATTTTGTGTATGGTGTATATTACCAATAAAATATTATAAATTCTCAATAAATTGCTATCATCCTTCACTTTATCATAATTTATATTGAAAAAGTTAATTTGTGAGCCACATCACATTTTCACCTGGTATATTTAACATATTCTAACTTTTCTCTTTATTTACTCGTGGAACACAAGTTGGGCAAAAATTGCATAAGACTTCTCTCCTCAAGAGCCAAGATATTCAATTGGATGTGTCAAATCAGAGGGTCTCACTACTGGCCATACAAATACACAACTTCACTAGAATGTGTGGACTGAAATCCACCTCAAGATTTCAAGTGTGGTGAATGGTATCCCATAGACATTGCCAGAAGGACATCCATTACGAAGTTCTCAGAATGTCTCCATCCAATGAAAATACAGATAAAGATATCCAAAGATAATGACCTTTGCCAATCCAAATAGTATATAAACATAGGTTCAGCCCATGAAACTCAAGCCACAACCACTTTTCTCTAATTCTTCACTAAACTACTATTCTTTTCATAGTTTTTTGATAGTTTTCATTAAAAGCATACAATGGCTGCCTCAACAATGGCTCTCGCTTCCCCATCGCTGGCCGGAAAGGCGGTGAAACTATCGCCATCTGCCCCGGAGATCCAAGGAAATGGAAGGGTCTCTATGAGGAAAACTGCGACCAACGCCTTTTCATCTGGCAGCCCATGGTATGGCCCAGACCGTGTCAAGTACTTGGGTCCGTTCTCCGGTGAGCCTCCAAGCTACCTCACTGGTGAATTCCCCGGTGACTATGGGTGGGACACTGCTGGGCTTTCAGCTGACCCAGAAACCTTTGCCAAGAACCGTGAGCTCGAGGTGATCCACTGCAGATGGGCCATGCTTGGAGCTCTTGGGTGCGTCTTCCCCGAACTCTTGGCCCGCAATGGCGTCAAGTTTGGTGAGGCGGTGTGGTTCAAGGCCGGATCCCAAATCTTTAGCGAGGGTGGCCTTGACTACTTGGGCAACCCAAGCTTGGTCCATGCTCAAAGCATTTTGGCCATTTGGGCTTGTCAAGTTATCTTGATGGGTGCTGTTGAGGGCTACCGTATTGCTGGTGGTCCGCTCGGTGAGGTGATTGACCCACTTTACCCAGGTGGAAGCTTTGATCCATTGGGCCTTGCCGACGATCCCGAGGCTTTCGCTGAGCTAAAGGTGAAGGAGATCAAGAATGGCAGACTAGCCATGTTCTCCATGTTTGGTTTCTTTGTACAGGCCATTGTGACTGGCAAGGGTCCATTGGAGAACCTTGCTGACCACCTTGCTGATCCTGTCAACAACAATGTCTGGGCCTATGCAACCAACTTCGTCCCCGGAAAGTGAGTGCAAGAATTGGAATGAGTTGTGATCCATGATGAGGGTTTAATTCTCTAACATTTGGGTGTGAATTTGAAAGTGATGTTTGGTGTATAGTAGTTTGTGCTATGCAAAGCATTTGAAATTTGTGCATCTACTGAGTTAATGTTCTAAATTTTTTAACTTGATTTCGATTTTATGCACACTATTTCTTACACTTCAAAATGACTGCACACATCTGATCATTTGCAGACTTCGTAACACCAAAAACCTCGTGCACCAAGTCTTTTTTTGGTTATTCACTCACGCTTTTGGATAGTTGAGAGCAAGATTTATTGAGTTGCAATCCTCTATTAATTTTTTTAGGTGTTAATGGGTTGTATTGGAGTTGCCAAGTTTGCATTATTTTGTGTGGTTGTTGTGAAAACCAAAAAAATGGGGGCCAAATTCAATCTATATTGTTACATGACTTAACCTTTAGAGTAATCCTGTGATTGAGCCTAATTTTTTATAATTTAAAGATCTCAGGTTTAATCCCTTTTCACACACCTTAAAGGCTAGTCACCTTCGTCCCTTGAGAGACATACTCTAACTCAACTCAAGTCACGGTAATCAGCCACTGCACTCAAAAAAGTAATCAGCATAAACTTGAAACACCATATAGTAAAAAAATAAATAAATAAATACACTGAACATGACTTGATTAACCCATACATCGGGTTAGTGTAAGAACATTCAATAGGTTTAATAAAATGAGGATTAGAATTAATTATTACTCCCATCAAGAGGCAAGATATTCCCTGGGGTGTCTCGTATCAGAGCTCTCGTTACTGGCCATACAAATATATACTTTCACTAGAAATTGTGGACTTAAATGCACCTTCAGAATCTCAGGGCATCCATTATGAAGCTCTCACAATGTCTCCCAGTCAATGAAAATGCAAATAATGATATCCCGAGTTAGGACTCATAATCGAGCCAAACTTTGTAAACTCAAGTCAAGAATATCGAACTTATTTTTCTAAACGAGCCTAAACAATTTTTCAACCTCGACTCGTTTAGAAAATGATTGGAGCCTGAATCAATTACAAAACAAGCTAAACCAACATTGCTCGACTGTTTTTCATATAAACGAGTCAAGTCTTTTAAACCCATTTTCTAAACGAATTTAAAAAATTATTCAAACACGACTTGTTTAGAACACGAACCAAGCCCGACCGGAGCCCAAGTAACTTAGCTCAATTATCAACACTATCCAGAGATGAGGACCTTTGGCAATCCTGATCTTCTATATCTAGTATACTTCAAATCAACTCAAACATGATACAATCAATAAAAATAGTGTTGTTATCAGAATACCTACCACAATTAACAAAATGAGTCAGATTAAAATTGACTAATATTCAATATGAACTCAAAACAACACAACCTAAATTGCCACCCCTAAAGTAAAGGAGTTCGTTGTGGGGCCTATACAAGTCCACTAACTCTATAACAGGAGGCCAAAACAAATCAAAAAACATTCACCGGTGCTCCACCCCCAGCACCAGCTATTGGAGCAGCAGCAAAGGGGGAACGGAAGAGCATGATTCGTGCATGACCATAATGTCCATGTCACAAAATTCCCAACACAGGGAACATTAAAAACTTGCAAGTGGTAATAAAGAGACTCGAACACCCAAATATTGACGCAAGAAATGCTCACATAAAGTGATAATAGACACCCCACTTAGGTTTACAATGAAGGAAAGAGCTAAAATTCGTTTATCCACTTCCAGAGTTGAAAATCAGGCCCATCCCCTCATGTACACACACTTTCGGCACTGGAGAGAGAGTCACAGTACAGAAAGCATACTAAACAAACAAAATAGCAGCAAAATCAAAGTCAAAAGACCATGAAAACTCTCTCTCTCTCTCTCATACAAACACACAGCATGAATGGTAGCCAGTGACAATAGAGACCCTAAAGCTAAAAATATAAATGAAAAAACAAGTAAACAACAGCGACAATCAGACACGAGAGAGTGCGCGTATTAATAATTATTAAGCTGTTCATAGAGAGTTCAAAGAGGTGATTGAAACAGCCCACAAAGAAAATAGACAGAGTACCCTACAACAAGAACATATGATTCGTATTGCACATCAACTCCCTTCTTCTCCCATATGCATAGACAATCATAAATTTAGGTTACTCACTCACCATACTGACCCTTGACAGCAATGTCCTTGGTCACATAGCCTCATCAAGATTTCCACCATGACCACATGTGGAGAAAAGCAGGCATCGCTAGTCTCTTACTTCCAAACTGCAGAGAGAGAGAGAGAGAGAGAGAGAGAGTTAGGAGAAGAGAAAAACAGAGAATCTCTAACTGATAAAGGATAACAGCATGTACCAATAAAACAAGGAGAATATGGTCCTGGCCACAGTAAGAGGGGCTCGACCCTAGTTCATATTTCCAACTCCAAGATTCTGCACATCAACTTTGAGAGACTTCAGATACCTAACAGCTTCATCAAGAACATCTACAGTGTTCATCTGGTTGGCACCAGGTACAATTACTCTCAGCGCCTTCACCATCTTCCTCATTTTCTGATGCTTACTTTCACTGCAGCTGGTGCCACTTCCAGAGGATTTCTTCAAAGAAGGTAACCTGCTCTTTCGGGGTTTTGAACAATAATTGGAGCAAGAATCAGAAGAATCGCCTCCAGAGTCTCCATATGTTCGTGCGGTGCTGACCTCTTCCTCATCGCATTCTTCCTCTTCCAAGCTCAACAATGCATCAATATCATCTGAATCTTCTTTCACTGAAGAGTTTTCTCTCCTGTCACTTGCATCTTTCCTCTCAACAGTATCTTGAAAATAAGATGTACCCATATTCAAACCAGGATAACCAAATTTGGAGCCAATGGCTGGGTGGAACATGATCTGGCTTCTGTTATCAGTCTGGTCAAAGATGATGAAATTCCTTGGACAAACCTCAGAGGGTTGAAATTCAACACCATGAAAAGGCATCGAATGCTTAGCACCTAGAGGTAAAGCTGGTTTGCCAAAGATGGATGCAATAGGGTCATTATGCATGTAACCACCACCCACTTGATCAGTAAGGGGAACCACTGGCTTTCGGGGGGAAAATTGCTGATCACTCTGCATGAGAAGTTCTCTTGGGTGATGTACTTCAATGAAAGACAATGCCGTGGCTTTTGATATGGATGATTTTCAACTTTTTATTGGACAGAATCTCCTAAGGCAATTTAGAAGAATAACTAATACACTTGAGGGGTTTTCATAGCAGTACAAGAGTCATTTGTTCCAAATCGACAGTCATCGCAACTAAGCTTCATCACTAGCCAGTTCCTTCTTAACAAAACCATAACAAGGCAAACACTCCCAATGTCCCAAGGGTCCTAGTGTACTAGACTACGTAACAGGTTTAAGCAACTGACGGAAATACTCGGCCTGTAAAGTAAATGACAAGCCATGAGAACTAACCATTCAAAAAGAATGAAAAACAAAAACTCAGGATTTTGCAACTTATTCTTGCAATGAATGCATGAGAAAAACAAAGATGGGTTCTATGTGGTAACTACTTGGTTTTTAGCATCAGATTGCCAGCCGTATTGGCAAGCAGTCATTCATTAAGTGGCATCCCAAGCATGGATCTCTGCTAATTTTGAGAGTAATAAGGCATAAATCAAAACTAGATCCCGCTGAGCTAGAACACTCATTATGGACTGAAATTTGATAATTCCTGAATTCATGGTTTTCTTCTTTAAACACATCATACATGGAATTCATTTAAGAGCATTCAAGTTAATTTTCATCTGAGAAAGCATTCATAAAATGAACAGAAAACTACAAAATCAATTTTGCATTTTAGACAACTGTGTGACAGTTTCATATAATTAAAATTGCACAAACCTCAAGAGATACACTCGAAAAGTTGAACAGTGGAACACAACACTGGCAAAGGAAGATGAATCAAATAAACATGTAGTGGGGAATGTAATGTCTGATTAACTCTGTTTTTACAGCAGACAAATATTCTACTCTTGGTTCCCATTATGGTTCAGTTTCAATTGGCAGCAATTTCTTGATTCTTATTTCCATCAAAGCACACTCAACCAAAAAGACCATTTTGAACATTTGTTGAGAGTACAAAAACAACTGATGAAAATTTGAATATATGTTCTTTTGATTGTTTTGGAAAGTAGATTGAAATTCACCCATTGATTTATCACGCAGAAGACTATTTTACCACCATTCAAAAAACACACCACTGAAGAATGTTACACCAATTTCATTATTCGAAATACCAAAACAGGAATCCATTTTCAAAATAAACCTAAAAGGCCCTACCATTCTATCTTAAGTGTAGTATAGTACAATGTTGGTTGGAATTATGGAACCCAGGGTGGAAAAAAATATTTATAGGAGATAACCATAATTACATAAGATGCAATTTACCTGACAAACTTGCATCAATTGATAATAAGCAATGATCCCAACACTCATTATAATCTTCCCAACTTCCTTCACTGCTTGATATCTCTTCACTGTTACTGCAATGTACATTCTCACTCACTTCCCCCGATATTAGATAGTAAGTACTACAAAATCTCTGTAAATCTTCACGAAATCAAACAGATAGACCTACACCAGGAATCAACAGACTTCATTAACACCTTGCATTGAATTAAACCATCATAAAATAAATGCAAAGTAAAAAGCAGAGTCATTGATCCAAACTTGATTTGTATTATCAACCGTCAGTCCTGAACACAACTTCGGTGTTCGGAAGTATGGAATCAAAGCAATTTGAATGTAAAATGTAAAAAAAAAAAATAGCCCAAATTTTAAACTAGTTTCCATGAACACCAATACCAAAGCATCCCTTTCGGGTTGCCAAAGCCAATGGAAGCAAAAGAGTCCCAAAATTTTCTTGTTTTTGTCTTTTTCCCCAGTAGTTATCTCCACCCCGACCCCCCCCCCCCCAACCCAAAAAAAAACAGAGCATTAAAAAAATCCAAAACTCATTCAACAAGTACAAAAATTTGTGGTCAAAATGTTTCAGCAGAATAAAAAAAAATGAAATTTTGAATAAACAAAATAACAGAAATTTTAACAGAGGAAAATTCTATACCTAAACAATCAAATTACAATATGACGCGAAAGAACACCACCAAGCGAACACACTTCTCATAATAATTCACAGACGAGGTCATCCACAGCATGTTGATCCACCCTGTCAACCCAATCTACTGGCAAAATGATCTGTTGAACCTTCACTGCAACTACACAACCAAAAACAGTAAGTGAAAACAAGCACAAAACTAATAACCCAAGCAAAAACCAAAAAAAAAAAAATGACATCGCAACAACATTAACAACCGCCAAAAGCTGCAAAACAGAAGGCATAAAAGCATTAAATTTCTGTGCACTACCACAACCCAAATGTTGTGAACATAAAGCCCCAGTAAACAATCACAAACAATGACCACGAGATTGATGAGGTTCGGTAGAAATTCTATGTATGTCTACAGGACTGGCTGTTTCCCTATAAGAGAATCCCAATAGGGTTATGAATTATTTATAGGCACTAATCGAAAACCCCTAATATACTCATGCAATTAAACTTAATCCCAATTAGAATGATATACCCAATTGTGGTAAACTTCATGTGCCAAACTTGCATTAGAAATCCTCAATATACCTGTACCGTTGCGTCGTAGCCACAACCTATTACTTGACCATGACAACTGCCATAAGATACCACTTATGGCGAGTGGGCGACGCATCGCTCAGCTCCTGGTCCATTGTCATTTGGACCGAACCATCCACTATCGTCAACACCAAATCAATTGAATCTCAAAGAAATGTAAAGATATGCACAGAAGCTCAGCTAGATACACTAAAAACCCGAAAAAATGCATACATGCATATTTTACTTATACATATATAGCACATGGATGATCTATATAACTGACAACAATAAACACCGATCTCATTATAGAAAAAAACGACCATAATGCGCGCGCGCACACACACACACCCAAACACAACACTACCTAGACAATAATTACATAATTATAAGTAGATCTTGAAGCAAAACAACAGTAAAATTACCCCCAAAATTGAATTTACAGTCCTGCTATACATATACACATATATGAACAAAGAGTTAAAAGATAACCGTGAAGTACCGAGAAATTAGGGTTTTTGAGAAGATCAGAGCTTGAAGGTTGAAGATTTCGTACAAAAATTACGTATACGTAGAGAGAGAGAGAGACTTTGTGTTGGGCAATGAGTTCTAACTGTGGCGTTGGTGGTTTGGGAGGTGTGGCAATCGGGGTTTAACTTTCGAGTTTAGACAGTAGAGACAAGGCAGAGTCAAACACGGAGATTTGGAGCCGTTGGATGGGGAGCTTCCCGTATAATACGGATGGAACTGTGGCCGTTAGATGGGGAGCACGCGTGATGTAGAGTGGGGCTCACGAGGTTTGACAAAATGCTCAGCTCCTCGAAATCATAGTAAATATTTTTTATTTTCATAGTACATATTATTCCGGTCAATTCTTACTTTATGGGAGTCCAATCTGTTGTTCGGGGAGAGAAACTCGATATACATCTTTCCTCACAGCTAGCGTAACAGATATTTTATTTAGAGGGACTGAATAAATTTTTTAATTTTAATTCAATTAACTAGCAATTAAAACCTAACCTATTACAATTATTTTTATTATAAAGATATAACAATGAACGTAAGAACTCTTTTAGTCACCACTATCCACTTTATACATGACGATTGATTAAATTAATATTTAATTAATTTGGTTGTAATCAATTTCCCGTCAATCTCAAAAACTCAAACCCAATTACACACTATGGATGAATGAATGTCAATCAATTAAAACATCAAACACATAGTACGCGTATGTGTTAACAATCACAAGTGTGTACAATAAACAATGAATAACACAACCGATTTGTTGACAAAAAAATCCTTCTGAGGAAAAATCGCAAAAAACCTTCTCGGTTCACAAAGCCTAATTCACTAATCACTAAGTCAATATACAAGTATTTGAGTCTTATGTTTCAATCAATATCATAGTTAGATGTTTCTTTCTTTGTTGTGGCAAGGCCCTCATTCGACGTCTTGTGTAGCTTTACTTGGACCTCTCTGTCACACGATTCATCTAGACCTCGAACAATCATAGACATGCCCACGATCCCCGATATGCACATATCAATGAGTTTATCAAACTAACAAGATTTTTTCTCCAAGTTGTGAAGTTGGATAGAATATCTAGTAGTATCCTTTAAGTTTAGGGATCCAAGTTGTGGTAGAAACTCTCAAGGTAGAAAATTAATTTTCTCTCTTAGAAATCTCACAAGAGGTTTTACCAAGCTATGAGAAAATGCTCTCCTTATTTATTGGTCCGGAATAAGCGTAATCTTAATAAATAAAAAAACTTAGTTTTCACGAATGACCGTTCGATCAATAGGAGGGCGGTCATAGGGCAGTTGTCACTAGAATAAAAATCACGTTTCAATCCTGACTATGGCATGCATAGCTTGTGCGTTTCTCAAAGAGGGGTCTAATTATAACCCAATCTGTGTTTTCAATACTTATAAATAGTTTTAGAAAATCTTTGTATTTGAAATCACCTAAGAGTCATAGTCGGATTCCTTTCAATTCCATTTTTCATCCTAATCAACCTAAGTTAAGAATAAATGATGGTTCATCTTAGGTGTCTAGGTTATTACCTTGTCCTAAGCATGAAGTTATATACAAAGGTTGAATGATATTCCTTTGATGCTTGATCTCCTCCTTTCAATGAGTTTTCGGATCTTGAACTTGATAGTATCATGACCATGAAAAAGTTGAGATTTATAATGGACTCCACAAATTAGCTAATTACAAATTTAATCTAACACAATCCAAATCTATATAATAAAGTACAAGACATATCAAATTTCATAAGACAAAAAAAATGACTTTTGCTTTTTCACGATTCAAATCGTTTTAAATCCACTCTTCAAATTTTAATCCAAGGGTTGAAATCTACTCCTTAAATTTTGTTTTCCTGTCTAAATTACTTCTAATATTTCCTTAATCATAACCGCAAATTACCACCCATTCATCCCCAATT